GAGGTTCCTGGGGAGATAACAACGATGCGAAAGAAACAGTCAGAGGGTCATAGATTTTGAGCTGCAAGAGGTCTTAGATGTCAAGCCCAACACCTCACTCTACAGGTAAGGAAACTGAGGGCCAGAGAACTGAAGTAATTTGGCCAAGCTCACACCCAAGGCAGGCAAAGTTCGGCCTCAGTTTTCTTTTCTCTTTTTCTCTATTTATTTTTTTCTATCTATCTATCTATCTATCTATCTATCTATCTATCTATCCATGCATACATACATATAATTTTTTCCCTCCAACTACTCTAATACTGACAAAGGACTCGTGAGTTATAAATATCATCTTTCCATGCAGGATGTAAACAGTTCAACCTTTATAAGTCTCTTATGATTTCTCTTTCATGTTTACTTCTTCATGTTTCTCTTGAATCTTGTATCTGAAAGTCAAATTTTCTATTCAGCTCTGGTCTTTTCATCAAGAATGCTTGAAAGTCCTCTATTTCACTGAATGACCATTTTTTTCCCCTGAAGGATTATACTCAGTCTTGCTGGGTAGGTAATTCTTGGTTGTAATCCTATCTCCTTTGCCCTCCAGAATATTATATTCCATGCCCTGCGGTCCTTTAATGTAGAAGCTGCTAAATCTTGTGTTATCCTGATTGTGTTTCCACAATACTTGAATTGTTTCTTCTGGCTTGTAATATTTTCTCCTTGACCTGGGAACTCTGGAATTTGGCTACAATATTCCTAGGAGTTTTCTTTTGGGGATCTCTTTCAGGAGGAGATCGTGGATTCTTTCAATTTCTATTTTGCCCTCTGGTTCTAAAATATCAGGGCAGTTTTCCTTGATAATTTCTTGAAAGATGATGTCTAGGCTCTTTTTTGATCATGGCTTTCAGATAGTCCAATAATTTTTAAATTCTCTCTCCTGGATCTATTTTCCAGGTCAGTTGTTTTTCCAATGAGATATTTCACATTGTTTTCTAATTTTTCATTCTTTTGGATTTGTTTTACAGTGTCTTGATTTCTCATAAAGTCACTATCTTCCAATTGCTCTATTCTAATTTTTAAGGAAGTATTTTCTTCAGTAATCTTTTGGACTTCCTTTTCCATTTGGCCAATTTTGCTTTTTAGGGCATTCTTCTCCTCATTGGCTTTTTGGACCTCTTTTGCCATTTGGGTTAGGCTATTTTTTAAGGTGTTATTTTCTTCAGTATTTTTTGGGTCTCCTTTAGCAAGCTGTTGACTTGTTTTTCATGATTTTCTTGCATCACTCTCATTTCTCTTCCCAGTTTTTTCTACTTTCTTACTTGCTTCTCAAAATCCTTTTGAGCTCTTCCAAGGCCTGGGACTGATTCATATTTTTCTTGGAGGCTTTGGATGTAGGAGCTTTGACTTTGTTGTCTTCTTCTGGTTGTATGTTTTGATCTTCTTTGTCACCAAAGTAAGATTTATGTCTGACTTTTTTTCTGTGCTGTTTGCTCATGATCCCAGCCAATTACTTGAGTTTTAAACTCTTTGTTAAGGTAGGGGTCTGCTTCCAGTGTGGAGAATGTACTGTTCCAAGCTTCAGGGGTTTTGTGCAGCTGTTTTCAGAGATACTTGTAGGGACCTGTAAATTTTCAGTTCTTCCAAGGTGGTATGATCAAAGGCGAGGTGTTTACTCCTTTCGTGGCCTGTGCTCTGGTCTATGAGTGACAACAAGGACTCTTTTCTGTCTTGGAACTGTGAGGAGGATTCTCTCTCTACAGCCACTACAAGCTCCACCATGCCAGCGCTCCTCACCCCAGTACTGCTACCTAGAACCGTGGCTCACATCCAAGCACAGGCAAAGCAAGAGAATCCTGCACCAGCAAAGAGATCCCTGCAATCCCCCCTCTGATCAGCCACTGGATTCCCCCTCAGTCTATGGGGCGGGAAGCTCAGGAGGCAGCCACCACCCCGGGGCCCGAGTTTGGGAACTGGGGCTGGGACCCTGTGCTTCTCTCTCACCGCAAACACAGACTTTTCCTACTGACCTTCTAAGTTATCTTTGGCGTTCTTGAGTTGAGAAGTCTGGAAACTACCACAGCTGCCTGTGATTTAGTCCTCTGAGGCCTGTGTGCCTATGCTGAACTGCATTCCTCTCCCAGCCCGGCACGATATACCTTTCCAATCAACCATCCAGGTTGTCTTGGGCTGGAAATTTGTTTCATTTTGTCTTTTTGTGGGTTCTGCTGTTTCAGAATCTGTTTAGAGCCATTTTTTTACAAGTATTTGGAGGGTTTGGGGGAGATCTCAAGCAAGTCACTACTTTTACTCCACCATCTTGTTCCGCCCAGCCTCAGTTTTCTTATCTGCAAAATAAGAGTAGCACCACCTCCTCCACAGAGTTGGTGTGAAGATTGAGTGAGATGAGGCATGTGAAGATTTGCAAACCACAAAACACTCTATAAATGTCAGCTCTTATTGATGGAGCCTTCTCATCACACCCTTCCTAGAAAAGAGAATCGTAACTTAGACCAAGCATCTCATTCTTCAGCAAGTCAGGAAGAGACTTTAGGGACAAAGGCCTGTCTCCATGAAGATGGATCCTTGTTCCCTTCTCCTGTTTGATGCTTAAAGTTGGTGCTACTACTCCAAAAGCCAAAGCTAACATTCTACCTCTATATGCCACAGATTAGAGTGACCTTTGTGTCCTGGAGGAGAGGATAAGAGGGACCAGCATCCTGTAGTAAAAAGGGGACAACCTAGATCAGACAAGTGGATCTAAGAGCTGGGAGAGACCTCAGAACCCATCAAGTCCAACACTCCCATTTTACAGATAAGGAAACTGAAGCCTAGAGAGGGTTAGTGATTTATAGGATTGGAGGTCTAAAAACTGAAGGCCTCTAGTTCCACCTCCTCATTTCACAGAGGAAGAAATGGTCACAAGGCAGTAAATAAGAGAACTGGAATTAAAATCCAGGTATTACATATTTGCATCATGAAATCAAGGTCCAGCAGGAATGCACTGTGCTAAGTTTGGGGCATGCCACCATTGTCTTCCTTATCAATGAATGGAACCATCTGGGAAGATTCATACCAATGAACTGATGTAGAATATAAAGCTCCCAGGAAGGGTGAGGTGCCCCAGAAACCATCAAAGATATAGTCTGATAATTATCCTGAGGTGATTTAAAAGAAAAAAAAAGATCTTATGCTTTTTTTTTTTTGCAAGAGTCAGGCTCTGAATCAGGATCACCAGAGTTCAAGGGCCGTCTCTGACCCATTCTGGCTGTTTGACCCCTCAACATCCCCAGAAACTCTCTAAGACTGGATGTTTTGGAGGAGTTCTCCAACTGCCTTGATGGAGAGCATTTTCACTCTGGGAGTTCCTTTTGCCAATGAAATTCCAGGATCATAAGTTTTGAGCTGGAAAGGACCATAGGGGTCATCTAGTCTAACCCAATTTTAGAGAAAATAATCTGGGATCTAGCTAGAACAGCTTCTTCATATAATACCTCCTCCTATGCTCATCCTCCTTCCTCTTCCAATGCAAATGAGGGAAGATAGATACTTGCTAAAGTCATCAATTAGCTTATGAGATCATAGATTTAGAGCTGGGTTGGCATCTTGGACATTATCTAACTCAATCCCCTCATTTTACATGGGGTTAGGGTTCCAGGGTTCCTTCCACTAAAGAAAGTCAATATGGCAGAGCCATTAGGGGTCTGAGTAGAAATGGCTGAGCTCTTATCATTCTGCATCAGTGGGGGTGAGTGGATTTCCATAGCCTGGGTTCCCCAAGTCAATGACATCAGAGGTCAGGACTCCCTCCAAATGCTGCCTCTTCTCTCTCCTTCTCCAAAACTTGCAGTAACTCCCTAGATCTTGTTGTTTCAAATCAGCTTGGCTTTCAAAGTCCACTCCCCTTCTAGATATAACCACACTTTACCTAACAGACATATTTCATTCAAATAATGTGTCTGGAGGGCCTAGATTAGAACCCAACTCTTGTCCTCTTGAGGAGAGATTGAGACCAGGCCAGGTTCATTTTGGAAGATGTAAGAGAATAAAATGATTTCTAGTCATTGACGGATCATCACTGGTAAGGAACAGAGAGATGGTGGTATTAACCCCCTCACATACTCCTAAACAACTGATTTCTAATGCCCTGGAAGCACTCTGCTCTTGACAGCTTTGTGTGGTAGGTGCAGTAGGTATCCTCTGCCTCATTTGATGGATGTGGAAACTGAGACCAAGAGAGCTTAAGTGACTTGCCTGGGGTTGCCCAGCTGGTAAGGGTGGGAGTCAGGATTTTAATAGAGGAATCCTGACCTCAGGTCCAATGTGCCTCTGTCCCTGCTGATGCTCAACATGAAACTGGACAGGGAAGAGCTTGATCATGCTATCTGGAACACCCGCTTCTCTACTAACTCAGACAGTAGATGATGGGGCAGTGGGTGTCTAAATGTGTCAACAAAGATGCAGCAGGGAGGGGGTGCTGTGCTGAGGGACCGTCATGTATGTAGAAGCAGCTGGTGAAAACATGTATCGGGCTCCTGTGCCATGATCATTACCAGACATTTGTTCATGTCATTTCTAATTCCTCTTTTTATGTCTTTATGGAAGACGATGAAAAAATTGCTCTCTTTAGTACACACAGAACTAGAATAGAGGAGCAGGAAAGCACCTTCGAGAACATTGAGTCCAACCCTGTCATGGTACAGGGGAGGAATGGGAGCCCCAGAGAGGACAAGCCAGGATCAGAACTCAGGTCATCTGCCCTGAGGCCACTGCTCTTTCCCCTTTTGTATCCTGTCTCCCTACGTGATTGGCCCACTGTCAGTGGGACCTCTGAGTTATCTTCCACCAGCATGGAGAGATTAGACTGAAGGAACTATCAGCCCAGGTCCTTGGCCCTCTGTGACCAAAGGCACATATTTATGAGCAGGGCTGTAACTAGGGTGGGAGTAACTGGGGTTTTGGCCCCAGGGCACATACATTTAAAAGGATGCAACAATTTAAAATGATTTAAAAAGATGATGCAGTTTTAAAATTCAATACATTTATATTTTGATATCATTTTTACTCCTTCAACAGCATAGACATTGGATAGTCAGCCTGTGAAATTGGCTATTCCAGGAAGCTACAAGAAGGCACACTTCTCCATCCTCCCTCCCCGGAAGGCCCAGGGAGCTCTAGCTCACCCGGTCCTGCTTCTCCCCTGGCAGCAGCTGCAGCACAGTGTCCTGGAGTCTCTTTTCCCTTACACCCCTCCCCCCACCCTCACTTGGGCTGATGTCTTATGTTTTCTATCTCTATCCCACTCCTCAGCGTCCTGGGGAGTCTTTCCTCCATTGAGTCAACATCCTGGGTCTCTTTTAGACAACTAAGATTGACTGGAGGGCATGGTTTATGGGGCTTGTTTAGACCCTAATACTGGTAATTATAGCTCTGTACAAGTTAGAATAGGGCTTTCCCATCTCTGAATAAAATGTCTAATAAGGCCCAGATTCACAACTTGAGCCTCATCTGCACTCCACTGTGACTATACGGCTTAGAGGGTCAGCCGTAACAGATCCTCATCCCCTACCCCCATAGGCGTGTCAATATTTTAAACACCAAATGAGTTTCAATTTTCAGACGGACCACCACCCAGAATTTGGTCCCTATGTGGTAAGTGCCACGTCACTAGTCACATATTTTTCTGATATCTTGATGAAGTTAAAGACATTCATTCACCCTCCCTGGCATGCTGCTCAAGACATCCACCAATGGGCCTGTTCCTAGCATTTCTGAGAAGACAATAAATAAAGAAAACACTTTCACAAAGTACGTGTCTCTCTTCTTCAGTTCTAGTAGAAATGAAGCCACCGACCCAGTTTCCTCCACAGCAACTCCCACCCACTGCCCCTAGCTTCATTTTGCCCAGGATATGGGAGACACCTTAGGAAATCGTAGCATTTCTAAAGCTGGGATCTTGGGTTCAGTTGCAACCGGCCCAGAAATAACCACCAGCTATTTGTACAGGGTCACCTCAAGCCCATATCCATTGGACAGACCTGGGCAGCTTCATCCTCATGGTGGATGACCCTCCCTTTCACTGCCTAGCCATGAGGAAGATGTTGCTATGCCCACAGAAGGGGCCACACAGGAGTGTGTATATACAGAAGGGACATGTGTGTGTCTGTCTGATTAGATGGCTACAGTGCTTATCCATGTCAGCAGCAGTCCTGGGAGAGGATCAGTGACCGGGAGAAGCTCTGGGTTCTTGTATCGACGGAGGGGCACATGCATGGACATACCCAGTTAGCCCATATGTCTATCCAACTATAAGATGACTCATGGAAAGGATGCCTCCTTCTACAGCTATACACAGACCCAAGTGTATCCTTCACACATCTGAGCATGGCACTGGAGGGTGGGAGCTCCCACACCTGGTCACATCTGCAGGACACACCTGGTCTCTGGGGCTTTGGGAATCTCACTCCTAACAGCAATACCCCATCTCCTGGTTGGCTTCCATCTGTGAAAGAATGCATGTTTCTGCATTTTTGGAATAGGTGAGGGGCAGGGCAGACAGAAACCAACAAGAGAGTTTAATGTTTGGAAAGGCAGGGATCAAGGTTTCTTCTAAAAATCTTTTTTTTTGGGGGGGTGAATGTAGGGGTGGGGGTGAGGATAGGAATCTGAGAGTTGATAGAACAAAAACTTCCAGCTGCCATTGCGGAGGGGGCGGTCTGTCATCTCTGCAGATAGTAGCCTAAGACCATGTATGGAGTGGTTGAATGCAGAAGGTGAGGCTAGACTTGCTCAGCCGGAATGGATCTTGGTCCCAGAGGGAACTCTGATGTCTAGAAGGAAGTCACTCCCTTTAGGCCCATCCCATGGAACGGAAAACCTTTTCTGACTTAGATGTGGCCATATCTCTTTGCTCAGGGTGTGTGTGTGTGTGTGTGTGTGTGTGGTGTGTGTGTGTGTGTGGTGTGTGTGTGTGTGCGTGCCTATGGAAGGCCTTGGTTGTGTGAGTGTATTTGGCCACTGTCTCACTCTCTTTGCAGTTCATTCTGGACCACCAAAAAGTCTTGCTTCAGAACCAGAATCATTTTCTTTTTGTTTCCTCTATAAAGTGATCGAGTGCTTCTGTGGCGTTCCCTTTCTCCTGTCTCTCCTCCTTCTCCTCCTCCATCTCTCTCCTTCCATGGGGTTTAGGTCTCAAAGTATTTGTAGATCTGGGCCACATACTGCATAACACTCTGCCAGTCAGGACGATCTGTGTACAGCATCTCACTGAGTTCCTGTGTGGGAGACAAAGAGAGAGTCAGCTTCCTGGATGGAGAGAAAAGAGCGCGGAGTGAAACACTGGGGCATGTGGCAAACTCAGGGCATGCTTCCTCCTTCTGGGAAAGGAATCGGAGGGACTCTGGATGGATAAAGGTCAAAGGCTCTGAGATGCTCTTTCCTAAGAATTCTACAGTCTGATGATATCAGATCCTGGAGAGCAGATTTCCACTCAAGCATGTAAGTTCACGCCAGTCAGTGAGTTCTTGAGAACTGTCAACCTAGCAAATGAAGAACATTCCTCTCCTTAATCAGAAGAAGCTGATCTCTTTAAAAGATAGCAGCAATGACTGACCACCATTTTATTTAACTAAGGATGGGCTAGGCTATTTTAGACGTGAACCAGACGGGCATCCTTTTGCTTCTGCAGCCCTGTCTTCATCTGTTATTAGCCCATAAGGTAGGAATAGCTGCCAGCAGCCAGCGGATACAAGGACAAGGCAAAAAAGTGATACTATTTGGTCTCTGGGGGCTTAGGACAGTGCCATGCCAGGCTAATTGATTAATCCATCAATTAACCAACAAGCATTCATGAAGTACCTACTATGTTCCAGGCACTGTGCCTGGCGCTGAGGATGTAGAAACTAAAATGGAAGAACCTCTGTCTTCTGGGAGGAGCAGGAGGAGGAGAAGGCAAAGAAAAGAAGATGAAGGAGGAGGAGGAAGAGGAAGAGGAGGAGGAGAAGGAGGAGGAGGAAGAAAACAAAGAAGAAGAGGAGGAGGAAGAGAAAGAGAAATAAGAGGAAGAGGAGGAGGAATGCACCTTCTCTTCGTCTCTGCCTCAGAGAAATCCTCTCTACAAGACCCAGCTCAAGCCCCAGATTTTACATGAGGTGTTCTTAAGCTGGGGATCCATGGATCCCCAAAAGAAATCCCTGAGGAGTTTAGGGATAGAATTCAGAGGGTCTGTGAACCTGAATGGGAAAAAATTTACATCTTCATGCCAATATAATTGGATTCCTTTTTTATCTTGTGCATTTTATCATATGCATTTAAAACCATGCTTCTGAGGAGGGCTCCATGGGCTTCCCCAGATGTTGCTCAAGGAGTCCATGACACAAAAAAGGTTGAGTCCCTGTTCTATGAGAAATTTTCCTCATCCCCCATAGCTAGTGTCTTTCTTCCCTAACCCCTTGTATTCAGCTATTTTGCATTCACTTGTATTTATATGTGTGCATTTGCATGTATGTATGTGTATACACACTCACATTTTTTTGGTAGTCCTCACTAGAACAGAAGTTCTTCATGAGTTGGGATTGTTTCATTTGTTGTACTTATACCCTAGTGCCTAGCACAGAGCTTGTCATTATAGTAGGTGCTCAATAAATGCTTACTGATTGACTGGAGGAAGAGAAGGCAAAGAAGAGATTTACAATCCATTTTTCTGCTAGCAAGGTCTGAAAGTGGACTGGAAACCCATGTTGGACTTCTTCAGAAGTCAAAAGAGAACAGCCAGGAGGAAGCCAGCAGACAAACAAGGCAGGAACAGAACGTGCTGTGATCTATTAAATGAAACCACACAACACTCTGTGTCTGTTACTGGGCACTGGGAGGCCTGATGGGGACCTATCAATGCACCATTAATCCATTGTTTAAACAACATTCACAACATACTCAACTAACTTGTTCCCTGGCAATGCGGAAGAATAAGCCATAGGTCAGTGTTGGCTATAGAGTCGGGATGGGGGTGGATGAGGGGTGGGAACTGGGTAGAGAGACCCTCCAAGTGAAAAGGCCTCAGGGAATGAGTGCTCCAGTGAGTGTTGAGGGTCAGGGGCCAGTCATGGTCTCTTTAGAAGACAGGGGCCCGATGTTGGGTAGGCTGATGGGCAAATACACAAAAGCATCCACTTAGAGGCTCAACAGAACCGAGGACAAATGTCACGTGGAGATCGGGGAGGAGACTTAAGACAGGACAATCAGAAAAGGTGTTTGCTCCCCGTCAAAGCACCGGGGTGGCAGGGAAGATGCCAGCCTGCTTTGGTAGAAGCAGATGACATCACAGTCCCAGCCTGAGTCATTGACATAGCACTAAAAGATCACCAATCCGTGGGATGTGGGAGCTGGCAGAGACCTGGGAGGCCATCAATCAGGTGGGAGGATTTGAGAACTGGGAAGGACTTGAAAGATCAATGCTTTCCTTTTTTTCCCTTGAGCCTCAGTTTCCTCAGCTGTAAAATGAAGGACTTGGACTCGGCCACTAGTTTCACCTCTAGGGCTAGGACTCTATGAACTTCTGGGACATTGGGAAAGTCACAGTCCTTGTGAGCTTTGGTTTCTGTCTCTATAAAATCAGGGGGTCCCACTAGATGGCCCCTGAGATACATGACGAACAGATGTCTTATTTCAGACTACGAAGAGGCAGAGCAGAACTCAGAAGAGTTCTGTTATCACGTCATAGTTCTAGAGCTGGAAGAGACTTTGGGGGTCATTGACTCTGACCTTCTCATTTTACAGATGGGGAAACTGAGGCCCAAGGAAGTTAAATGACTCGTCCAAGGTCACAACAATAGTAAGTAGAAGAGATGGGATTTGAACCTCAGGTCCCCTGACTTGGCCCTCTCTGTTGTACTACTATGCCACCCTCTGGGCCACTAGAGAACTGCTATGGCTCATTATACTCTTTATTTTGGCTCCATGCAAGAAAAAAAATTGTTGGTGCCTAAGCAGAGGACTTGAATTCAAATTCCAGCTCTGCCACTTAATCCCCGTGCTACCATGGGCCTCAATGTCCTCATGTGTAAGATGATGAGGCTGGACTCACTGACCTCTAAGATCAAGGGTTTTTTTTTTTTTTTTGGTGAGGCAATCAGGGTTAAGTGACTTGCCCAGGGTCACACAGCTAGTAAGTGTCAAGGGTCTAAGGCCACATTTGAACTCGAGTCCTCCTGACTCCAAGGCTGCAGCTCTATCCACTGCGCCACCTAGCCGCCCCTTAAGATATAGTGTTAAATCTATGATCTGGCTTTCTTAACTTGGGCAGTTCATAAACTCTTCACCTTGTGAATGCAGTGAGTGTGAGCAAGCAGAAACCAAAGCCGGGGACCCCCACGAACCCTTCATCATTCTCTTCTTGTTTTCTCATCTTCCTGTGCTGGAGGCTCTAGACTTCTGGGGAAAGGATTTTATGATTGTTGGGGAAAGAGCCCCAAGCTTGGAGGACAGTGGGAAACATCCAGTCTTTAGTATCTGAAGGCTTGACATGTGGAAAGTGGGGATTAGATTAGATTCAGAAACAGCTGCTCATTAGGCAGGACATTCATGCATGCACGCTTTCATTCAATGGCGCCCACTGACCTCTTTCCATTGCAGGGGAAAGGCCTGAAAGTTCTATTAATGCTTTCTCTGGATAGGACCAAGCTTCTAATTCCTAGTCCTTAGTCTTTCAATGCTTTAATGGGTCAATGAGCTCATCACTGTAATTATGCTCACCAGGAAAGCAGGTCCCAAACCATTTGTGCTTGCCCATCCCACACAACTTGTGCATGGCCAACCCAAGTTAAATTTTAGATCACCTGGACCATCTTAAGAGATGAGATTTGGATTTAATGGGTCCAACCAATGGGAAGCCTTAAAATTAGGGCCTTTGAATAATGAGCCTCTTTGGATGAGGGATTTCAATTTCCAGTAATATGTGGGTTTCCTTGCCTCAGGTCAATGTCTAAACCCATCTTAAGGATACAAATGAAGATACTCACCAGGCTGGGGGTGATGCCAACACTCTCTGCAGCTTGGAATGCCAATAACAGATTCCTTTTCTGGGGGTTGGGAAAAATGAGAAAGATAGATGTTATCAACTGAAAAAAAAATAGGACCAGCCTTCCACCCTGCTGACCCTAATAGTCACTAAAGCCATAGGGAATCCAAAGGCAGTGATTGCCCAAATGACCTTGAATTTAACCACTTTATATTTATTCTGCACATCCCTGTATATGTCCTGGTCATCTCCTCTATTAGAAAGTAGGGATTGTTCTGTTTTTTTTGACTTGCAATACTTAGCCCAGTGCCTGGTGTATAGTAGGCACTTAATAAATGCTTACTAATTGACTGAACGATCCAAGGTCCCTGTAAGAGACAGGACACAATTTAATCAGATGTTCTGAGCAAAAGAGATTTAGTTCTCTTCAAACTTCCCATGTATTGAAATGATTCCTTTTAACAGGGAACTTTCACTCGGAAAGACCTCTAAGGATGGAGACAGCAAACAGATCCAGGGTAAAACAATCTACACAATAAGCAACATTGTAGAAAAAAACAGCTTTGCAAGACTAGAGCTCTGGTCAATGCAATGATATACCTCCTCACTATCTTCCTGCTACAGATGTAACGGATTTAAAATGTGGAGGGAGCAATGGATTTTCTGGCATGTCCAATGTGGGAATTTATTTTGCTGAACTATGCATATGCATGATGAGAGTTTTATTTTTAAATTCTGTTGTTTAGTTGTGGGGACAGATTATTAATGCGTGTAAAGATATATTTTTTAAAACAAGAAAACTTCAGTTTGACCTTTTTTAAAAGGAGGATGGAAGCTTAACAAAGATTGATTTAGTGACAACTGCCACATATCCCTTCCCCAAACACATCACGTATATACACATGCACACACACACACATACACACATGTACGTGCATGCATTTGTGCATATGCTCATGGGCTTTTATGGTTCAGTGGATAACACAATCCAGCTGCCATTGGGTACCCCAAATGGAATTAGGGATCCCTTTGCAAGTTCTTGAGTCCACACCTTCAGATGCATGTTTCTAGAATGGCTGAAAAGCAAAGAAAACTGCATGGTGTGGTGGAAAAAGCGTGGACCCTAGAGTCCAAGCATCTGGGTTCAAATCCTACCTCCAATGATTATGACCTGTGTGGCCTTGAGCAACTCACTTAGCTGACTTCCCTGGATCTCAGTTTTTGCATCTGTAAGATGAAGGGGTTGGCCTAGATGGGGCCCCTCTGAAGTCCCTTTGTGTTGTACGTCATGACATCATGATCCTGGAGTACCGTATGAAAGAATGTTCAGCTCCGGGTCAGGCACATATTGAAGCAAGAAGCATTTACTATAGACCTACTGTGTGTTAGGCCCTGTACTAGACACTGAGGAGACAATGGAAGTGAGACAGTCCTTTCCCTCAAGAAGCTTACATTCTCTAGGATCGATGAATTATTTGAATTCATTTTTCATTCTACAAGCATTTATGAAGCCGCTACTCCGTGCCAGGCACTGTGCTAAGCGCTAGGGATACAAAGACAGAAATTAAATAATCCCTGCCCTCAGGGAGATTGCATTCTTTATGACGAATGGATTGTTTGAATTCATTTTTTGTTACTTATATCACCATAGCATCCTATGACTCCCTTCCCCGCCCCCTCTGAGAGCCATCCCGTAAGACCTGAACAAGCTTTTAGTAAGTGCCTACTATGTGCCAGGCGTGGCACTAAGTGCCAGAGTACAAAGACAAATATGGGAGTCCCTGCCCTCAAGGGGCTTACATTCTATGGGGGGAATACGACACGGAAGCGGGCAAGCCTCCATTCAATCACTTACGTAGGAAAGAGAGAGCATCGTGTTGAAAGGTTTTGTGTGGAAGAGTCTACGAGCTGAGCCTTGAAGGAAGCTAGGAAGGGCGAAGTTAAAAGAGAGAAACAGATATTCAGAGGGAGGAAATGTCTCTAAATCCAAGGCTCTCGTGTCTGACCCAAACGGAATCCACTGGTGTTTTCTAGGTCAACGCTGAATAAAGAAGTAGCTAGTTCAGGCCTCCTCTGGGAGCCAGATTCAGAAAAGACTTGGAAATAGCATCCACCCTGGACCACCTCCGAGAGCGGCTGGTTCTTTGTTTGTAAAACTGAGTTTTATGTGTTTGGACAGCAAAGAGGGCACAAGGAGCCAGACGTCATTACCCTAATCTCACTCATTACCATGGGAAGGTCTCCACTGTCACGGCCAAGAGCCCAAAGCATCATGAACTATCTGAGCCGCTCCCATGATCAGATGATGGAGCCAGGTCACTGAAGTCATTGAAGTCAGTGGCAAGCATCTTCCAAGGCCATACTGCCACTCACTGGGTTCATTATTCGGTGCTTGGGAGAAAAATTCTGACCCAGACCCTGGGACTTTACAGTGATGCAAAATACTGGGGACAATTTTTAGCAAAGGAGAATCATAGGATCCTAGTTCTGGAGCTAGGAGACACCTCAGAGATATCTAGTCCAACAACCCCCTCATTTTACAGAGAAGGAAACTGAGGTCGAGTGGCTAATTTAGGATTATAGCTCCTGAGCTAAAAAGGACTTCAGACACCATCTAGTCTAACCCCCTTATTTTATAGATGGGGTGGCCAGATGACTTACAGCATTAGATATTTGTATTTATTAATTTTATATTTGAAGCAGCTAGGTGGCGCAGTGGATGGAGGGCTGGGCCCGGAATCAGGAAGATCTGAATTCAAATCCATCCTCAGACCTATCTTTCTGAAACTGATATTTTTTCTGGTGATGCCTTATACTGCAAGTAATGGCCATATCACAGTCCCCAAGAAAGCCAAGCCATGAAGTTGCCATTGGAGCAATGGAGTGAGGCATGGTGGGTAGAAAGAGGCTGCTGCAGAACAGGCTGGTGAAGTATGACACATCTAACAGGATGTTAGAGCTGTAGCCTACCAGAGATAACCAGAAAAGGAAGTGTGGGCTGGTCATGCAGCAAGAGTGAGAGAGTGAGCGGATTGATAGCCCATGAGCTCCATGGGTCCCCAATGCACCGCAGCAATTCCAGATGTTGAGGGTGGGCCCCTGTATTCTGGGCTGCCCCTCAGGGGAGGGATGACTTATAAGAGGCTATGGACAGTCAGCTGGGATAAGAAGGTGTGGGCAGGTTGGGTTTTGGATTGTGGGAGGGAGAGCCCAGACCGAGGAGCTCTCAGACCCAATTAAATGTCAAATAATACCAGGTGTGGTTATTAGAGATGGGTCATTGGGTCACAGATTTAGAGCTGGCAGGGACCTCAGAGATCACCAAGTGCAGCCCCCGCATTTTCACAGATGAAGAAACTGAAATGACTTGCCCAGGGTCACACAGCTAGGAAGGGCCTGAGGCTAGATTTGAACTCAGATCTTCCTGACTGCAGGCCTAGCTCTCTATATACTACATTCTCCTAGCTGTCTGGTTTTTTTTTAAAGACCTCCACGAAGGTACAGATAGAGCTGGAAGGGGCAGAAGAGGCCAGGAGTTTTCATTGGATTAATTACTGAAAAAATTGTAAGGGGGAGGAAGTGAACAAGGTAGCTGAGTTGTCTATAGGATAACTTGTAATTTTGCAACCGGACAGAGAAAAACCACCTTGAAAAATCCTACCTACTTAGCAATCTGGACTCTGAGACTCCTGACAGAGATGGGACACTTAGATTCTCATTTCATCTCCACTGCTAACTAGTCCTTGGGGCAAGTCCCAACCTCTCGGGGCCTCATTCTTCTCAGTCATAAGATGAGGGGGCTTGAAATGGATGGTGTCTAAGGTTCTTTCTAGATCTATTCAACAGCCAATAAGTAATTAACTTATGTCTCTATGGTGCTTCAAGATTTACAGTGCTTTCTCTCCGGACAGCTTTGGGAGGTCAGGGATATAGTTAGCCCATGGCCACACAGCTACTATGGGTGGACACAAAGTCATAACTTCTCAGACCTGGGTAGGAGCTTAGAGATCACCTAGTGATCTTACAGATAAGGAAAGTGAGACTCAGAGAGGTGAGATTTGCCAAAGGTCATAATCTACTAGTAATAGTAGCAGTAGTAGTCGTAGTAGTAGCAGTAATAGTAGTAGTAGTAGTAGCGGTGGTGGTGGTGGAGGCAGCAGCAGCAACAGCAATAGTGGTAATGATGATAACAACAACAACCATAATAATAACTAGCATAGATATAACATGTAAAGGTTTGCTAAACACTTAACAAATATCTAATTTGATCCTTACCACAGCCTTGGGAAGTAGGTGCTATTATCATCTCCCTTGTGCAGATGAGGAAACTGAGATAAACAGAGTTTAAGTGACTTGCCCAAGGTCACACAGCTAGTAAGTTTTTGAGGCCAGATTTCAACTCAGATCTTATTGTTCAACAGTGATGTTGTACGTGTACATGTACAAAACAGCATGCTAGGCACTGCTTGGGGACATAGAATTTTGTCCGTGCTTCAAACCATCTTTCTCACAGCCTCCCATATTTAAAACCCTGGTATCATCTTTCTCTCCCTCACCTTTTGTATGTAGTCAATTACCTAACTACTCTCTAAACGGTGTTTTTCCCATAGTGCCCAGCATAGGGCTCTGAACACAGTAGGTGCTGAATAAATGTCTATAGAATTAAATTGTTTGATAAGATAGTCCCTACTGTCTCAGAATCTAGTAAGGGAGAAAAGAGAAACACACAAATAAGTACACTACAGGGTACTCTGTGATATGCTCTAAAATAGAGGTCCAAAAAACTATAGGAATTCAGAAGGGAGAGAGAGAAGGGGAGGGAGGGGGGAAGAGAGGAGAAAAAGAGAGAGAGACCGAGACAGAGACAGAGAGAGACAGAAAGACACAGAGAGAGAGAGAGAGAGAGAGAGAGAGAGAGACAGAGAGAGAAACAGACAGAAAGAGACAGAGAGAGAGAGAGAGACAGAGAGAGACAGAGAGAGAAGGGGAGGGAGGGGAAGAGAGGAGAAAAAGAGAGAGAGACAGAGAGAGAGAGAGAGAGAGAGAGAGACAGAGAGAGAC